CTTCCTAGGCACCAAAGGTGTTTTGGTTTAGGCAATCTCTATAAATGCTTGTTAAAGGAATGCACATTTTTTAATTGAATAAAATGCAAATACCAAAATCTGCTTAATACAAGGACATAAAATATACTTCGAAAGCCAAAACTGGGGGCGCCTGGGTGGCTCAGAGGGTTGGGCGTCTGCCTTTGGCTCGAGTCACGATCTCAGGGTCCTGGGATTGAGTCCCACATTGGGCTCCCTGCTTAGCAGAGACCCTGCTTCTCCCTCTGCCTGCCATTCCCCTGCGCTCTCTGACAAATAAAATCTTAAAAAAAAAAAAAAGGCCAAAACTGGTAAAACTTAGTTTGCAAAATCTGGCATTTTTACAAATTGGGCAGCTCTTGTTATGTAAATTAAAAAGGAAAAAAAATGAAGCCAGTTATCTGGACTAATGCTAAGAACAACTGTTAAAAAATATCAAAATAGCCCTAAACAAACAAATTTGAGAAACTGAGTTTAGAGTACCTAAGGACTAATTTTTTCCCATCTGCATGTGGAACTACTGCTGTCATTATTTAGATAAGCAACTCAACAAACCCAAGATACTCTCCAGCTCCTTACGTGTTAAAAGATAACACATTTCCCACTAACAATCGTTAATTTTTCAAACTCAAGTTAGTTTTTTAACAGACTTATGGGTGGACTGATTACTCATTCAACACAATGGAGGGACACTGTTCTAGATGCTGAGGACATAGCACAGAACAAAACATCCCTGCCCTTATTATGAAACTTACATTCTAGTGGCTGGTTGAGAAAATTCTGTGGTTTCTTTCTTTCTTATCACTTATTCTGCTTCACCATACTTTCATGGCTCTTTTACATATGTACTATCAAATAGACTTCAACAGTTTTAAAGTTCAGGCTTATATGTACCCAAGTAACTGATTTGAGACCAGCCCTTAAACAGAATAGTTTAAAAAAGCAATAAAGGACTTTCAATTAGTAAAAACTTCACTTCAGATAAAAACCAGAACTTATTGGGCAATGTAAAATCAACTCAGTCAGAATTTTTGACAACTAATATTCCTACTCTTCAAAAAGGCAGAAAAAATTTTTACTTTATCCTTGTATTTCTCAATTTTAAACTTTAAATTCTATTTCTGAGCAGAATCTCTTTTTTAAACAAAATTTCATGGAAAATACCTAAACTTGAAATGTGTAAAATTCCCATTGAAATAGGAAAGACTGGCCAGTCCGCCAGTCCCCATGACCTTAGTGCATGAAATGCCTCCAAAGATACTTCAGAAACATTTGAAAGTCACTGTCCTAAGTAAATGTGCTATCTAAAAAACTAACAAAAACCATAAAAATATTTTTTAAAGTATTTAGATTTAAATAACTCCAAGATTCTTGTGTTGTATAATATACTGTAATTCTCTGTGAGACATCTGACAAGCACAATTTCTCTGAGCCTTAATTTTTCCCACCTATGAAATGATGACCTTACACTACAATACATGATGGTCTGTCAACCCTAAAATCGTACTACGATGAAGGCTGTGATAAAATTAGTAGTGGCCATTTCTGATTTTAGGACAGGCACATCATGAGAGTATACATTTTCATCTTTGCAGATCTTAATTTCAAGCTTCTGTTACCATCTCTGCTTTAGATTTAATGTCTCTAAATTATTACTACTACACATCTTTTTCCAAGATCATAAGAAGCTAGATGGAAAGATTTTTTAAGCACTTCAATGTACTTATCTTCAGGGAAGATATGTACCAGAAATAATGTGTTCAGGGGGAAAAAGGACAACTTTGCTTAGATTTGTTTTGCCTAAATCTGAAAGGGGATGATGCCTACTATTTGCACAGTGACTAGAACAGGAAGAAAGTGTGCCAAAGGAGGAAAAGAATGAGACTAAAACAAGACAATATTCTTGATGACTAGAAGAGTAACACAAGCCTTTCAAATAAAGCAGCTTCCTCAGTTACAAGAAAGTCATGCTTCTTATAAAAATCGTAACCCAAATATATATATATACACACACAATTATTTTGACTCTCTATTCAAATATTTCATACTAATAGTCAGTCGTGAGTGCATTTTTAGAAATCAGACTCTCCATCTCCAAAAATGCCAGAAAATACATTTCTGTATATTCTTCCGCTAAATAATCTAGAGTACTAGTGAGTCATATTCTGCTGGAAGTGACAGATCTGAGGAAAAGGGTAAACTTTAGTTATACAACAAAGAAAAAGCATTATAAAATCAAGTTACAATTCAGTTATTTTCATCTAACGTGTTAAAAAAGAAAAAGAGAAACAGGCATTTCAACATAAAGAGGTATGAACTATTAGACTGTGCCAAAAAAGTTGTTCTAGAGAGACTGGTTGCTAAATAAGTCATAACTCTGTAATTATAAACCATTTGTACACAGGATGAACTATTATAAATAGCTCTTTTTGCTAATAAGGGTCATGAGAAAGTCACACCATGGATGGTTTTGAGTTATCAAGGAGACCATTCTATATGACAACCCTGGAGTCTCACAAAGTCCCATAGCCATCTGTACAAGCTCTGCTTAAATTCTCACAGAGGTTCACAACTACTTAGTATCATCCTTACAAAAGGCAATCTCAGGTCTATTACATTGACAAAAAGGAGGTATTTTCATCCAGAGTTTCCCTGGCGAGTGCCTGTAGAAGGGTTTTCATTAACTGTTTTTAATCCACCCAAGCACTGTCAATTTTAAGCCACACCATTCAATTCTGTACGATAAGAAAATGTTACCAATTAAGATAATATTTTTCTATCATCATTTCAAAATATGTGTTTCAGAGATGTTAGAATTTGAGAAAATGTGCATCTTATAAATCCACCAGGCAAGAACTTTACAAGAAGGAAAGTCCAAGACCAACCACTCATCCTTTTTTATTTAACAGAATAAAAAATTAAGTATTCCCTACAGAGTAGAAAACATGCTGAGTAAAACTTGGGTTTGGCCCCAGTTATACTTTAAATCAATAGAACTATGTGATTTTGAATACTCATCTACTATCATTACGGCTAACTGTGGATCACAAAACAGCTTTAAGATTTTGTTTTATTTAGAGAAAGAGAATGTCGGATACTTAACCAACTGAGTCACTCAGTTTGCCCCTAAACATCTGACTCTTGGTTTTGGCTCAGGTCATGATTTCAGGGTCCTGGGATGGAGCACCACACTGGGCTCAGCGCTCAGTACAGAGTCTGCTTGTCCTTCTCTCTCCCTCTCTGCTCCTCCCCTGGCTCGCACTCTCTTTGTAATAAATAAAAATCTTTAAAAAAGAAATAAATGAGCATAACTGCTTATGTACATTATAAAACATAAAGCACAACTGTGATGTCAGATTTTTATTAATGGCATACCTGACTAATATAACACTATGTCCATGTCTTACTATGGCTGGTTTTATAGTTTTAAAAAATAAAAAAACTAACTTTGTCACTTTGCTAATTAAGCCTGTCCTCAAAAATTATTTGAAGTTATAATTTAGACATTAAATAAAATGACCATTAAATTTAATAGTAAATGCGGAGAATCAAAGTATACTACAGATAATTACCTATTTTACAGATTTCAAATGTTTTATAAGCACATTAAAAATATTTCATGGGGGCGCCTGGGTGGCTCAGTCGTTGAGCATCTGCCTTCGGCTCAGGTCACGATCCCAGAGTCCTGGGATCGAGCCCCACATCGGGCTCCCTGCTCGGTGGGAAGCCTGCTTCTCCCTCTCCCACTCCCCCTGCTTGTGTTCCCTCTCTCACTGTGTCTCTGTCAAATAAATAAAATCTTAAAAAAAAAAAAAAAAAATTTTATGGACATTCTAAAGAGTAGGAATGAGGATTAATTATCTGTCATAGTTCTAATTCAAGTGCTCAGAATCTGGATTACGTTATTACACTTAAAAAAAAATTTAGGTATCACATAAATTTTTAAATGTAGGCTTTTTTCCCCCCTCTTTTAACATAATACAGTTTCAACAGTCTTTCCTACTGGAAAAAGACAGCAGTGTTTCCTCTTGTATGTGCCTTGATTTCTGTTAGAGTTATTTAACTTTTCCTACCCAGAAAAAAACACTCAATTTAGACTACTTTAACTACAGGAACTCATCATGTCTGAAAATGGAAGTCAGAAATCTTTTCTTCATTTCAGTCATTTCTGGCAAATGAGAAATAAAGCCAGCTAAATGTTTAGCTCCTACTAGTCCTCCTCTGCCATCACATGCCAAGGGAAGCTCTTGCAGTGAGTAATCATTCCAACCAAACCCCAAAGTCAGAAAATCAGATCCTTTGTTCCATTTAAATAGGTCCATCATCATGTGGTTTATCTTTTCAAATTAAAATGATGATACTCCAAGGTCAACCAATATCACTAGATATAAAATCTAAATTAAGTGAGCTTTACATCATTAGGAGTCAGAAATATAAATGCATTTTAAGTGACAACACTACTAGCAAATTAAGTTGTGTGAATTTAAGTATTTACTATTAGGTTTTCCTCACTATGATTTCCATAATATAATGTGTACAAATGTAAACATATAATGCTTTGGATAAAAGTCTACTCTGCTCAACAGTAAAGAAAACTATTTTAAAAATCATTTCTATAATTTCAGAACTAAAAGTGCAACTACAGTATAACTGCCTTTATATTCCAAATAAGAAATGCTTTTTCAGAAATTTCTCTGAAGAATGGAAAAAATTATAAAGCAAAGGACAGCAATGACTTTTCAGAGGAATTCCATTTTGCAGCTTTAAATCATCTACCTGAATAAACAATATAAGGGATGCAAATCCCTCCTCTAACACTGTTTTAAAAGAAATCATTGCATAATACCCCTGAAACAAATAATACATTATATGTTAATAGAAAAAAAAATTGCATAATAATTTGACAAAGAATTAAGTCTTTATCAAGTAGTTCCTTTCTGTAGGATACCAATAATCAAATAATAAATTTAATAAATACGTACAGTTCCAGAGAGGACATCATGGGGGCAACAGTTGAGAAGGTGACTCTTGCATACTCTGTCATCACTGAATTTGATTCGTTGACGAGTAGTATCTCCTGCAATATAGAAAAGTTAATAACATTCAAGGTTAGACAACTGGAAAATACTTATTTTCTGAGAGCCCTATCATCTCTAGCTTTTGCTGTGTGGCTACAAACACACACACATTTATTTATAAATCAGCTCAAGAGGGATTAGTTTTTTATATAACATCCTATAGAAAAACTATTTTAGACATGCAGTTGCAGTATGTGTACTGCAAATGTAATTCAAATAGTCAAAGTGGGAAAGCAATGCATTCCGTTAAACAGAGTACTTCAGAAAAGCATAGGATATAGAGCAGGAATGGACTTTAAAGATTATCGAGTCCAACTCCTTCGCACTGCAGATGATGAAACTGATGCCCCAAGAGGTTAAGTGACTTGCAGCAGACCCACTAGGAGAGTTTCTACTGGTATACAATGTTCCCTACTTGATGCTAAGCATAGATTTATTTTGTAATTATTTACATTAATTGAAAAACATAAAAAGTAATCTTGCAAACATTGCATACACACTGCGAATCCCCACTGAACCCCAGACGCCATTTCTTCCACTATTTTGTTCCAGCTGAAGTGTCTCCCTTTTGCTGCTGGGATGAGTTAGAGAGGGTAGAATAGCGTGTTTAAGAGTGTACAAACCTGGAAGAAGGACTTACACACCAGTCAGACAAAGGCACATTGCCTAAATGAAACGTTAACTTTAATGCCTCCAAAGGTACCATACCTTCAAATTTTAGGTGATCTGTGCTACATATGGCCAAACCGGGTATATTTAAATTTATTCTGTCTTCATATAACACAGTACACCCTCCTAAGCAACAGAAGCATCCAACCTCCTAATCAAATATGCCTATCCAACTCAAACTTTAAAGAGTCTAAGAAAAAGAAAGGTAACTAACTCTAGTAACAAAATACAGATGTTAGTTACAATTTTTTTTGCTTAGAATCTCTTTGGGGAAAAAAAAGAAAAAAAAACTCTTAAGGACATTTTTTCTACGTAGAATGATAAGCCCTAAGAAATGTAGGTGTTTTATTCTAGCCTTAAATTGATATCATCATTGATGAACGAAAACCTACTGATGAATTACTGAAGCGAGAACTGTTGGTACCAAAAGAGATTGTAAATACCTCTGTACTTCACATGATGTCTGGGGCACTCCAAAAACTCATCTAGGAAGTGATTCAATTATTTAAATTAATTTCTATTATTCTCATGTGAATAACAAAAAGGTTAAGCCTTTACCCCTTTCACATGGTCTTATTTTGAAGAGCTTAATGCAAAGTCAACTAAATATGTCATTTTTAGGTGGGGTAAGATTTTGTTCAAATTGTTTTAACTCCATTAAAAAGACTTAAAGAACATTCTCATTTGCAATCAGGGTATATAAAATTTAAGAAAAGTAATTTATAGCTAAAATGATAGCTTCAGAGCAGTTCAACAATAGGTTTTCTAGAGGCTAGTCTCTAGTTCAAGTAGGTTACTTTGACACCACAATTTGGAATAAATCATTTAGTGTTCACGCCTGCTACTATAATAAAGGTTATTTTGATGGTCCTTTTTTCCTTTTAAACACAACTGCTTTTGTTCCACATTCATTAACACATCTGAAAAGTTAGTGATAACTCACGGCTCGGCGAATGCGGGGCCTTTCTGACACTCCCTTGCAGATTGAAGTAGGCAGGCATAGATACATTGAACCTTTACAAATAAAACAAGGGGCCAGATTGTTCAGTTTGTATAGAATAGACTCTGCCAGCAATTTCAATACAGCATCTAGAAGTACATGTTGACTGTAAAGATTCTTGTATATGAAAACAAAAGTGAACAAAATCAGGGTGTTTTATTTTGCAAAATATTGACTTAACAAGTGTAACCCTAAGAAGAATAAGACTGACCATAGATAGGAAAAAGTCCAACGCTAGAACTCTGGGAAATGGTCTCTGGGCCAACTGGGGTTTTAAAAAAAATGCTTTTTTAAAGACTTTATCTCATTAAGACTTTGGTGAGGGCCTAAGTTCACATTAGAATGGTACTATGATAAGCTAGCACCAGAAGGGCAATGCTATATATTCAAGTTTTTTGCTTACTGGCATGTAAGAAAAAATGTCTTATTTTCAATCTGTACCCAAATTATGCTAAGAAATTTAAAGATGATGTAGTTTTAAATACAAAAAAAAACCCACAAAAAATCCTTACATATCTAGGACTCTCCCTACTACAGTATCTAAGCTTTTTAGCATGCAACAACAGTATTGTTTCAATGCTATGTCAAACTAATGGCTCAATAATATTATAAACCAGGCCTTAAAATAAAATCAAGATTCTTAGAAGTTTTACTAATCAAACATTTTGTAAAGTAGGGCGACTGTTTTTGCTTCAGAAATCACAACATTAAGTCAAATATTAAGATACATGTGCCCTGAAGACACAGCTGTCAGGCAAAATATAAGAATGCCAAATACGAATTTAGCAAACATTATCCCCAATGAACTCTTACAAAAAGCATATTTCTATAAATGCAAAAAAGCATTTTAAAGTAACTTCTCACTGCATAAGAATGGTTGCTCTATAGACATTTGATAACTGCAAACACAATAAATACAGCTATCAAATATCAGCTTACACATTAGAAAAACCTTTAAGACCATGAAATAATAAAACCCCTAATAATTTCAGATACAGAAATATCCCGAGATGGACTAGCAACTAAGTATCTGTTCATTGGTATTTTTAAAGTTTTACTTAAGAGACTTTAAGGTTAATATCTTAAAATAATTTGGCTATATTACCATGCAGTGTTTAATAAATTTATTTGGGCTTATGCCATGAAACGTATAATTTAGCTAAACCAACAAAGAATTTTAAAATAAAAATACTGGTAATTTTGGTTTCTATCAAGGTATCTGGCCCAAACCATGTTTTTCAAAAGAAACAAGGTAAAACAGCGCCCATTTGAAAAAAAAAAGGGGGGGGGGCAGACTACAATTAATAGAAAACAATTATGAACCAGATCTTTTAATAAAAAGAATTACTTCATGAATTCAAATACTGTATCTTTGGGTTTTCTGGGCATATAGTCATATAAAAATAACCTGAGTTAAAAAAAAACAATTACCCTCTTACACTAACATTGGATCCAAATCATAGAATCAAACCTATTAGTGCACATATCCTTTGTGCTAGTCAATGGGGTTACAAATAGGCATATAATTACAAGCTCTCTACCTTCAAGGAGTCCATGATAGTGACAGAGAAATAGGACACCTAATTGAAATAACAAGTAATAAAGGAGCATGACCCGAATGCCAAATGGATGTCTCTAGCAGTAGTACTTCGGGAATTCTAAGACTAGAATGGCCACCAAGGATGGAGAGGTTAGAAAAGGCTTCATACAAAAAGTAGAAGCCAAAATTTAAAGAAAAGATAGGACTCAGACCACAGGAAAGAAGAAGAACATTTCAAACTGGAGTATTATCTTTGACAAAGCTTATAAAGGCAGAAAGGTTTAGGGAATTGTAAATACTCCAAGTCAAATTCGGCTTTGGAAAATGGCTACATGTAGGGGAATAGCAAAGCTGAGGCCAGAACAGTATTTCTTGGGTAAAATTTGATTTCTTAATTTTTTCATTTTCTTCTTCAATCCAGATTTTTAGTGTAAACAAAGTTTAAAAAGTTTAAAATTAACGAACAGAGATTAAACCAAGTTATCTGAATTAACAGCAATACAGTGTCCTACCCATAAAAACATGGAGGTTTCTCTGCCCTGTAACCTCTACAATAATTAATTAGGCTTTGTACGTAACTACAATCTAAGTTTTTAGCATTAGCAACTTGATTTATAACTTTGGTAGGCAAAGTGTTCTTCATTTGAATGGAAGCATCAAAATTTCTGTTAATATTTATTACCAAGCAACTAACTTCAGAGTAAAAACTTTAATTCTCTCTTTGGTTCAACCCCTCCATGAGTTTCATGAATTGTAATTTGTACTTGGGAACACCTGAGTTACAAGTGTACAATAAAAACTGGAATGCCTATTATTCCTCTTAAGGCTTCTGAGGAAGTTAACAGGGCCTAATGTGGTACTGAGGCAGTTTCCCTTGGGGAACACAGGCCACTCTAAAAAGGCAGCTCCTGCCCAGACTGTACTCAAATACTGCTATGCTCAAAATCCCCTTCAATCTGTTGGGAGGGAAAAATAAGCCCACTGTAAATCCCAACACCGCTATTTTATGGTCCTGCCTCTTCTGAAACTAACTTAAACTGTAGTAGTAACACTTAAAACTTCAGCCTAGATGGTATCTGACAATTTACATGGTGCATGCTATTTTCCCAATGCCCACCCCCTCCCCCCTCCAGTGCCACCCACCCTCTCCCTCCCATACAAACAATAAATCAAATAAATTTTCACAGATTTAGGTGCTATTTTAAAAACATCAAAATTTTACTTTACCCATTCTCTCCGATGCTCCCTGTATTTTTTTAAGCTGTGAGTGGATGACCATGCTATGTGATCAACAACTGTGAAGGCTAAGCAAAAGTGAACTGAGTTTAGTATTGTAATTAAAAGAACCTTAAAGTTTGTAATATTTGACATATATAATGGTATGCAGAATCCTTATTTTACTGCATATTATCAGGCATTAATGGCAAACAATTTATAAAAACAACTAATTAGTATTTCTTTTGTATAGAATTAGTTTAGAGCTTAGCTTAGGGAAAACAGAGAAGAAAACTCAACAGCACACAAAACAAATGGAAGCAACCCCTAGCTTATAAATGGGGCCAGAAGAGGGAAAGCCCTCCCATATTCTCCAATGTGACAACCAAAGCCCTCCCCACAGGTACACTTGTTAGGGAACAAGTGTCACCACTGCCTTAGGACAGGATAGGCACATTCCCTCTGAAATAAAATCCATATCCCTTCAGTGAAAGGAAAGCAGAGCAAGAAAAAGAGGTGTATAACTGATAGCTTAAAGTTTCTCATTTCCCTGTGCCTCGGAATCATCAAATGCAGAGAAATGTTTCACTCTTATTACCACTTCTTATAATATATCAGCTACTGGGGGGCGCCTGGGTGGCTCAGTTGGTTAAGCGACTGCCTTCGGCTCAGGTCATGATCCTGGAGTCCTGGGATCGAATCCGCATCGGGCTCCCTGCTCGGCAGGGAGTCTACTTCTCCCTCTGACCCTCCCCCCTCATGCTCTCTTTCTCTGTCTCATTCTCTCTAATAAATAAATAAAACCTTTAAAAATAATAATAATAATATATCAGCTACTGGGTCCACGTAGTAACACAGAAACTATATTAAAAAAACTACATAAAGGCCAATCTCTAGTCTAGTACAGGGCAGGAAGACACTTGCCCTGTCCCAGGAAACCCTTGTCTTCAGAGGTAAAAGCAGGTGATTCCTGCAGCACAGTGTGATTACTTTTACATTCTTCGCAAACTTTCATATCAACTCCACTAACTTGTCCCACCTACCTTTGCTGTTCCTTTAGAACTCAGCCTAAAGCTCATCTATAGAACTCATTTGTAATTATCCTTTTAAAAAGAAATCTTTTACTCCATGTAAATGTTAATACACTTAGTTTAATTCACTATACAGTTCAAAGTATAGAATTTGTTTTGTAAAAGGACTCACTACCACGTCTTAACATATTATGACTATAGGTGCTTTGAAACAGTTAACACGACATGATACATGTCAAACTTTTCAGGAATGTATTTATTACATAAGGAAAGAAAGAGTACTCAGACAAAGGTGGCAGTGGGAAAAACCAATTATGGCATTGTCCCTTCCAAATATAGTCACTTCTATCTAACAGAACTTATAAAGTCATACCAAGTAAGTAGTAGCAAATTTCTTTTCCTCCAGAAAAAATGCAAAAGTAAGGGTACTACATGGTCCAGAAAGGCTATCCCTCCTAATCATTCCATAGGGTTTATAATTACAAATAGGTACTACTATTATTCCATCAGAACCCCCAAGACAAGCCCAATACTTAAGAACTTAAAATACTTAAAAACTGCAATGCCCATTGTAGAAATTGCTAGAACAAGTTCATTCTTACTGAATATGATCAAAGATTAATAATGCTAAAATAACGTTTTAAATCTACCAGCCTACTTGTCTATGAACATCCATGTAACAAAATTATAAGGAACGAGACAGGGGAACAGCCTTGCTATTAGGTGAAAAAGCTTACAGGATATTTAAGAGCTAACAGAATGGTGATGGAAATGTGAGAACAGGAATACTAAAGTAGCTACATTCCAAGGGCTCTATTCCACCCCTCGCCACAACTGTATCTTCTCTCATTACACAAGCATAGAATCTTGGCCACTGGCAGGGGTGGTGGTAGAATCTATGCTTTAGGAAATCTATCAACATGTTTCTCCTTTTAGATTTAAGAAATACATTAGAGGGGCGCCTGGGTGGCTCAGTTGGTTAAGTGACTGCCTTCGGCTCAGGTCATGATCCTGGAGTCCTGGGATCGAGTCCCACATCAGGCTCCCTGCTCGGCAGGGAGTCTGCTTCTCCCTCTGACCCTCCTCCCTCTAATGCTCTCTGTCTCTCATTCTCTCTTTCTCTCAAATAAAATCTTTAAAAAAAAAAAAAAAAAAGAAAGAAATACATTAGAAAAGCCTGAAAAAACTGTTACCTAAAAATTAAATCCTAGAAGCAGATTATATAGAATGTGTTTTATGATATATGTCCTAAAGGAAAGTCAGTCATTAAAAAGTTGCAGCCTGCTAAATTTTCTATTTTGATACTTACTTGCAGAGCTGCAATGCTGATACAGTAACACTTGTACTGGGGCTATCTGGTGCCTTCTATCACCAGAACGTTCTATACACAAAATCAGAAGTAATGAAAGCTATCTCTGGCTATGAAGATATAGCTGAAAAGAACCAGAGAGAAAGTGATTGGCTGATTTACCAAAAAGACAAATTTTCATCGGTTGGCTATAGCTATAAAAGCTAAGCAGAGTCTCCCCAAATCAAAAAACAGTGAAGGAAAGAAACAAGAAAGGAAAAGAAATGAGAATATCAAAGGACAAAAGTGACAAACAACTCAATGATAAAGGAAGTTAAAATGAAAAACAGAGATTACCATGAAGGAGACGGAGCCTTACAACTACTGAAATGACACAGCAGAAATACTGTGTCACGTTGAATACACACCAAATTCACAAGGATTGCCTCTGGAGAAAGGACTGTGACTGTGAAGGGGACAGAGGGACTTCATTTGTAATGTTTTGTTTTGTTTTTAATTTGAAGAAAATACACAAAATAACATTTGTTCACTCCTATAGGTGTTTGATAGTCTTTTGTATTTTTTAACAGTTTTTGCTAAATTAGACCCCTATAACCAGCATCACAGAATTCATCACTTAAAAATAAACATAACTGGGGGCGCCTGGGTGGCTCAGTCGTTAAGCGTCTGCCTTCGGCTCAGGTCATGATCCCAGGGTCCTGGGATCGAGCCCCACATCAGGCTCCCTGCTCAGCTGGGAGCCTGCTTCTCCCTCTCCCTCCCGTTCCCCCTGCTTGTGCTCCCTCTCTAATAAAAAATAAAAAAATTAAAAATAAATAAATAAATAAACATAACTGTTCATGTGTAAACCTTCATTCCCCACTAGACTTTCAGTCCCTCTAAGATTAGAGTCCTGTATCACTACTTTATTGCAGAGACAAAAGACAATAGAAACAAATGTATCCATAATCTCTAAGGAAAGGAAGAAGTAACTAAAGCAACTCAGCAACCTGGGGATATTCGGGAAAGGAAAGGAAAGATTTGATTCCTATCAACAATTACTATACCCTAAAGCACATCAGCCAGTAAATACACAGAACAACATGTCTAGGGAAGTTAAGTAACATGGGAATTTCTCAAAATACAAAAGCATGGTTTCTAGAATCTGAGATGGATCAACTATTTTCCTAGCAAGCATATCCTGTTGTTCCCCTATCCACAACATAAAACCACAGCCACTTCCCCCCCAGTTTCTAGTCTATCTTTTTTAAGTAGCCTTTCCCAGGGCCAGGCACCTTTCCACATTCCCATTGTGAAACAGGTTGGTGAAATCCCACAGAACTGCTGGCTACCATGGGCCAAAACACTATTGGAGAGGTGAGAATTCAAGCTAAGTGAGGTAATTTCACCCTGTGGGCTAGATGAACCTCTCTAGGGACTCCTAGATGGCTCTATCTCATAGGTATGTATCTCTTCTGGTCATTCATTTCTACTTCAGGGCTTGGGTATGTACAGTTCAAACAGCTTTTTCTTTCACATGAATAACCAGAACAGTATTTTCCGAAGTATGAGATTTATACAAAAGATGATTTTAGGTGTTATCCAATTGCACCAACAGGATTTCACCAACATTTTAAACACCACTGAATCTTTTAGTGATTATTTATCATGATTAACTTTAAAGTACATGATGAAGTCCACCTGGTGCTTAACATCTAACAAGTTCTAATGTTTAGCACGTGTGACAATAGAGTCTAAGCTATCTTTTTTTTAAGTTCTCTCTTAAAATACCATGCTGTTCTCACTGTATTTTTCTGGTGACATAAATTTTCATTTTAAAATTAACTTTAATTTTTAGAAAGTGAGTTGACATGAAGAAAATATTAAACAGAAAACAGTAAAAAACAGTCAAGGTGGTATGTGTGACTAACATTTGGGAAACATTTATCTAGAACAGAGTTTCTCAAACTTTTAATGTGCATCAGAGTCATGTAGAAGCCTTCTTAAATCACAGATTATTGGTTCCAATCCCCAGAATTTCTGGAGTCAGCCCAAGAATTTGCATTTCTAACAAGTTCCCAGGTATTGCTAAAGTCTGGGGACCACACTTTGAGAATCACTCATCAAAACACTGGTCAACAAGCTTTTCCCTAAAGGGCCAAACAGCAAATATTTCAAACTCGCCAGCCATATATGTCTCTTGCAACTACTCAACTCTGCTGTTTTAAGGCAAAGCAGCAATAAACAGTAGGTACACAAATGGGCATGGCTGTATTCATATAAAACTTTATTTACAAAATGCAGGGCAGCCATAATGCCAATCCTGATCTAAAATATACCTTCAAATAACTAAAAAAGGGTATACTGTGTAATCTAATAGTAGGACAAAATGAAGAGGCAGTGAACAGCTAAGTATACTATAGATCCTATCCAAAAAATATCCAACTTATTTTATTGAAAAGTAAAACTTTGGAAAGTTCTAACTCTGAAAGAGAAAACTGAAGTCTCAAGAAGATAAAAACAAAACAATTTACCATGCATTCAGGAGACATGACAAAAGACTCAGCAAGGGCAGCTGGTTAAATTCTTTTCATGTTGAATCACACAGGTGAAACATCACTGCACATGGTTCACAACTAAATTAGAACATATGGATCAATACCTAGTGAGCTTTTTTTGTTAGAAAAAAATTTAAAAAGACTCCTTTCTCTAGCCCATGTTAAACAGCAAAATGACATTTATTCAGTTTTTACAAAACTACGCTTTTCTA